CCGGCTCCAAGTAAAGAGAATCCCTCGCCACAGTTCAAGAAGTACAATCAAGCTGGAAATTCCCAGTCAAACAGCAGACAGGCGAATATGCGTTCATGAGGTGCCAAGTTGCTCATTCACACACAACACTGACTACTATCTCACCGGTTTGGCCTTTGACTTTCCGCTTGGCTTTAGCACAGACTCCTTCTTCACAGCATCAGGCCCAGAGGTCTTTGCAGCCACAGACTCTCCAGCAGCACTGATGGGTTGCTGGGATATCCCACTGGCCCCAGGTTCTTGACCAGTAACGGGCAAATCTTCTGGAAAATACCAAGAAAAAACAATGTGAAAAATCCAAAGGGAAGGCAACAACTGGATGATTGTAGGAATGGCTGCAACACCTGTCTTGTCAACAAATTGACACTGTGATGATGTGCGATACGTGGTTATATGTGATGTTGATCAGCGCACAGCACTAATGCATGCCACTCTGTTCAACTGACGAGTTCTGCTTCATCTGCTACCAAATGCACAATGGTTGCACAGTCGTTGTTCACAGCGATATGCACCATGCATGGATTAGGCTGTACTCACCAGCAAGTATCCTCCATGCAGTGGGCAAGCTGATAACAAAATTGTGCAGTCAATCATCTACCCAAGTACCCTAGTCGTCATACTGGAGGAGAAACCTACTTTTCCTGTCGTGCTGAAATAGTTACCAAACATAACATGACGACAATGGATACATGCTCAAGACAGATCCAAAAGCAACATTGACCTTGAATCATCACAGAGACGAAATGGAAGCCAAAAGAAGAGCATTGAAAGAAGTTGGGCTGAAAACAATGTAGCGCATATTTTCTGACACTGCATGGCTGAGGGATGGATGCAGCTGGATGCTGCAGCTGGTGGACTCAATTGCACAATAACTGGTGCACTGAGACTCTCCTGTCTGGACACACTGTTCACATGAAGCAGAAAACTAAAGAAACGGAAAGCAGCAACCACTGCAAAAGACCCCACCTGCACAGACATCTTCAAGCACAACTTCAGTAACTTCTTCCCCTTTGTCATTGTAGTATGTCTTCACAGCTCTGCGCCGAATTGTGCCCATCGGTGCACTGGCAGGCCGCTGACCAGAATCGGCACCTTGTACAGGGCAAGGGCCTTCCTTCTCTGGCTTGACATCAGCAGCTTGTTCCAGAACTGGCAGCATCGCCTGGTTTCCATCGTCGCTCTGTGTGGCTGATGCCTTTGTGCAAAAGAACATACAGGTGAAAGGCGACCCTCAGCAGTTGGAAAAGGCTTGACTGCAGCAAAGTAGGGGGTTTCTAACACTTTGTCCCTCTAGAATGGCATTCAAACGAACTGGTGTATCTACATGCTTCGAATTATGCCATACTGCAAAATTGTATATTCATTACCCAGCTCCAATATCCAACTTCGTTGTTTGATTGCCCTCCTTCCAGCTGTGATCACTGTTGTCTGTGTTCACCCAGCACATTGGCCACAACTGATGCACAATGGCAGCATACTACGCTTGAAGGTATGGACGATCTAAGGAGCACATGCACCGACACTTTCTGAGTAACAACTATGTGACACACCAAAATCGTCAACACTGCCTTGCAGACAAGGAGCAAGGACAGTGTGATGTGAACAAAAGAAATGTCTCAATGCTGAGCACCAACTGTATTATGACATTTAACTAAACTAAAGTTTATACAGCACAAGAACAATATGTAAGATTTAAGATTCAAATACTGATATGTGAAAAGTCTGTTTGGGCACTGTGGGTGAATCTGTCCAGCAAGTAGCTGTGTCTTAGCACACAAGCCTTTGCCCTGACTCCATCCAAGTTCCGATTGACAAAATGACAGCAAGCAGATGAGCCCTTTCGCAGACTCACCACACAGCTGTCCATTCTAGAAGCCCTGCATCCTTTGTGAAGAATCACTTGACAGGTCTTTGCAAAACCAAGGCAATACCTTTGGCTTCTTGGCACTTGAAGTTTTTGGCATGCTCTGGCCCTTGCGCTTTCCAGCTGTCTTCTTGGCAGCAGAAGCTTTCTGTTCCTTCTTCTCCGCTCCTCCACTATTGTGACGACCAAGATCAGTTGACGATGTGGGTACGGGGCCCATGCCTGCAGTCTCGATGCCGGATACCCCCGCTGGTGTCTCCTCTACTCCACCACCTGCACCAGAATGATACTTACAATGAGCTGAAGGCAGTTCTTGCAATGAAAATCGCTGTCGCCCACAGGCAGCAGTCAGAAAGTTTTCCATGCCATAAAACAGCTTCACACAGGCAAAAACTCTACCTGCTGGTGACATTTCTGAAATGCAATTCAGAAATCTTTGAAGACAACAGGGAACTAAATTGCACTCAACTCACTCATCAGCGATCATTCCTGCTATGGATCATCTTTGCAAAAGTCAACATTTTATGTCTTCAGAGAGTCAGATGCTTTAGGCCATGTCTGCCCAGGTTGCTGTCCTGCAGGCCACCTCTTTCATGCATCTTTCACAGTAGAAACACAGTAAAATGAGCTGTCACACATATCCTGGTGACCAATCGCTAAAAGACGATTTGATGCGAAACAGACCTGTGCAGCCACCATCTTTTCCATCAATGTCCACTTCCACTGGCTCAGAAATACTGGGAGTCTTTTTCTTTGGCCTCCTGTTTTCTGGTACTGCCTCTTCATTTTCGTCATCATCCTCAAACACACGTTTCTTGCCGGTGGCTCTGTTGCGGAAAACCACAGGGTCTTCGTCCATGTCGCTGCCAGGACCAGCCTTCACCAGGCCACAAAGATATATTTGCTAAGTCAGCAGACTGTGTGCCCCAACTTTGGACAGAAAATGCTCCGAATCTGCATGATAAAGTGCCAGCACACTTGGATCCGATGTGAAACAAGTGCGCGGCACAAATTCTGGAGCAGGCTCACCTCAGCAGGTGTCCGATGCAGGATTTCAGTGCCCTTTGCAGCAGCAGTTTGTTGCAGCTCTTCAACGCCTTCTTTAGCAGCAGTCTGGTGGAGCTTTTCAGTGCCCTTTGCAAGTGGTTCTGTTGCCTTGGTTTGCATCGCAGCGACGACGCTGCCCTTCATACCTGCAGGACATTGGAATTATGTTGTCTTTAAATATCATTGGAAAAGCAGCGCAGGACTACCATGACAAGCAAAGTGCACAATGGCAATTTCAACAATCAGGCAAGGTAGACGACAAATGCAGAGCAGGTCCCAAGTTGGAATCTCCTGTTTATCACAACTCTTGTCAAAGCACCGCCAATTTGGGCATACGATTCTGAAAAAGACAAAGTCCATCTCCAAGCAAATAGACACACCAAGCGGTTAAGGTATTTCTCACCAAGGGTGCACATTGTGCCAAAAGTCAACAATGTACTTTCAACATGTGATCGTTGACAGGCTGTAACAATCAAGCCAGGCAAGAAGAGCAGCAGCTCCAATTCAAGAATAGAACTCCCCCCAAGGCACTGCTGCAAATTTCTATACCACATGAATGATTGAATGATGTTGCACCAAGACGACATTGTTGACAAATGTAAACACTGTCGCTTAATCACTGCATCGCAGGGTGATTCATGGCCACAGGAGTATGGCCACTCCTCACAATAGCCCAATTTAACAGTCACACAGCACAGAATTCAATATATCTACTGCTTTTGGTGCCCCCATTGTGCCTATAACACCACTACCAGTATACTGCTATCCAAGAGAAACAGGCAGCCACCACTATGGGTGCCCAAATGAGTCTCAACAATTGTTGCTTTGCCATTTTGTGGGCAACCCAAATGCAATACACGCACCTTTCATAGGAGGTTTTTTGCTCTCCTTTTGTGGCTTGGCTTTTGCATCCATTACTTTTTCAGCACTGGTAACTGTAACTTCGTTGCTCTTGGAGTCTGCAGACAGTGCATGAAACGATGGATCAGACAAAAGCACAATGGCAAGACCATCACAGCAACATTTTTCAGCGCCAAATATTCCATCACCACTAATACTCAGGTGCTGGGCCCCTTATAACAGCAGAGCTGTGAGCCTTGTGCCACATCATGGGAACGATGCCACACCTTGCTGAGCATGGGATTGGTACAAGGAGGGAATTGGTAGGACACTGCATGGGAAGACACATGGAGGCGAACAGCACCCCTCATCGCCTCAATGGTGCAAGCGCAGTGCTTTGCTGTCCAACAATAACACTGCGAATCGAATAATTGTCCAATCCAACAGAACTAAGAAGCATGTGTGTCTCAACCAAGACAGTACACAAATTGTGCAGAACCAATAGTGTCAGCAAGTGTTCAAGGAAAGCACAGAGAGCAGGGATGCAGTGTGGACATGGACAAGCCCTCTCAGGGCTCCAAAGGGGGGTCTCAAACAGCCTAAGCAACTCTGGCGGGTTGAGCTGGCATAGTTCTCTGCATGGTGCAAACAGCGGAGTTTGCCAAACAGAAACAACATTTGCAAATCCTGTTCCCCTATGTCGTGTTTCACCTCTCGACAGGCCAAATCAAAAGCGTACACTCCCAGCGTGTACCAAATCATGACAAAGCAGCAGTATGGCAACATGTCACAATCTGGTTGAGGAATGACTGCACACTCAGCAAAAGAGCCAGCTGAGCACAAAGTTTGCTTCCCTAAGCTCAACTGGTGGTGGGCATGAAGCACTTGCCATATGATTTCAGCACGGTCTCCTGCAGCACGGCAGGCTGAGGTGCTGGCATACCGGCCCTGCGAGGCCCCACCCCTCCATCCCTTGTTGCCACATCGCAGAGAATGGGGCTGCAGGTGTTGTCTCTCAGCCACTTGACCTGACTCGACTCATCTCCAAGTAGGAGCTTAGCGAACAGCTGCCTTGCCTGCTCATGGCCGGCAGACCACACCTCAGTCGAGCTGCGTGCCTGCCGCGGTGCCACACTGCCACAAACCACACAGTCAGCTACTTGAACTGTGAGAATTTGAAATGACCAGGGGTGGCAAATCTAGTCATGTCGACTCAGACAGACTTTGGAACGATTCACTCGCGATTTGAATTAAGCTACAGGCCTTGAGTCCACGGTGGCAAACACTGCCTATGCAAAGCAGCTGTGCTCAAATTCTTATTACAACACAAGTCCCAGCAAACAAAAATTTTCTTCCTGCCTTTAGGACGAAGTCCTACCCTTCCAACCCCTGAACAAGATTTATGAACTAAGACTCTTACAAATATAGAAAATGATGCTTAAGCCCCTGATGGGAAACTAAGGAACTACGGCATCCAAATGTGACTGACTGACTGCATCTTGTCCTGCACACAAAGAATGTGTGAAGAGTTCTCACCTGTGTATGTGCACGCTCAACACGGGATCCAATTCCCTCATCTGGCCTGCGTGGCATATGGCACACACAGCATCAGAACTTCCACTGCCGTATCGCTGCCTTCTGGAAGAAAAGACCAGTTAGCTACATGTCATTTACAATTGTGAGGGTGTGAGAATCACTGATGTTTTGCTGACATTGCACTTGAGGTAAAGGAAAAGGATGGCAGCTGATGACTGCTGTGATATTTAGCTTGCCCCAGGGCTGCGGGACCAGCACATGCCCAGTAGCAAAGGGAAAAGAATGCGTTTGGACAGACCCAACGGATCACACCTTCAAGAGCAGCCTCTGGAACCAGCTGCACAACCTGTTGCCCATCTCCCTGCAAAAGAAGCAAAGTTTGGTTCATTCTTGGCAAATTCAGAATCTGTATGCTATAGCCATTGATGCAGCTCGCGCCGGAACACTATCGTTACTGAATTGCAACACATGAATGCTGGTAAATACTGCACAGGTGTTGAGGGAAGCAAGGACCAAGATATTAGACAGGTAATGCCTTCATTTTTGGCATGTCATAAATTTCACTGAAAAGCAACACCTGCTGGATGTGTTCTTGTGGCATTGTCTATGACAAGCATTCAGCTGGACCAAAAGAAGATTGCAATCGGCATGTGTGCCTTCCATTGCAACAAGACCCGCATAAGCAGGAGTGATGCACCAGTTTGGAAACACAGAATTAGGATACCAACCTTTCTCCGGCCAGAAATATAGTAAACAGCGCTTGACTTCTCCCTGTATCGTTCCCAAAAGACGTAGAGCGCCCTGACCAACAGAGTGAAAAGAAATATGTGATGCCAAACAGTGTCAACATACCCGTGATATCTCAGCACATGGGAATGCATGTCAGGTTCATTGAATGCCCATGCCATTGCGCAACAATTTGCTTGTGTTTGCAGACCCAACATCAAACTCCAAAGCAAGTGTTGACGACAAAGATGTTCGCCTGCCAGTTGCATGAAGCGGAAAAGGCGACTTCAACTTCCTGAAAAATCCAGCAACAGCCTCACCTCTTTGCGAAGTCTGCCGAGACGCAGAAGTTCCGAGCCAGCCATTTGTATGTGACGACCTGTGCTACACCAAGCCACAGTTGGGCGCCTACCGACAGGTCCAATTTGCACAATTTTCAAGCGCAGGAACAACGTCCACGCACGCGATTCTGTGCACATGCCGACAGTACCTTTTCGTGAGTGCAACTCTGCAGACTTTCAACCGTTAATCAAGTTCTGGGCTGCGGCGCATGTTTGTTCTCCAGGAGGTTATGATGGGGACCTTAGATATTCCTCCAACGCAAAATGATCTTCCAAATCAATGAGGCAGTACATAGGGCCAGTCGGCCGTTCTGCAGCCAATGGCTGTCTGAAGGGACGAGTGCCCGGCCCCACAGGCCGTGGGGAAAGACAGGGAGATCGACGCCTTCGAAACGACCCTGCGCACCCGACATTCCTCCCCCACAATGGACTCCAGCCTCTCGAGAACGACCGCCAGATCGCTCGCAGCCATGTCTCAATCCGGTGCACCGGAAAGCCGCCGGCGGACGGACCTGGGCGCCAACAGGCTGGGCCGAACAACAGAGCCCAGAACACGCGCTTTGCCGCGCAGGTCCCCTCTCCGCGCAGGCCGGGAGGGATGACAGAAAATGGCAGTCTTAGTCACGCCCCCATCTACCGACGGTCTACCGGCCCCGAACGTCCAGTGGTGCAGCGCCTTCCGCCTTCCGGAAGCACCACCCACATACACGGGCGCGTTCGCCCCCCCAGTCGAGGAGCGCCCCATCCAAGACGGTCATGTTCGGGCCGCTGGCGCGGCGCGTGAAACTAAAGTTCCTGGCCCCGTCGCTGTTCGTGGTCCTCCTGGGCGTGGCCCTGGGCACGCTCGAGACCCTGCAGGTGCTGCTGCTGTTGCTGCTCCTGGGCCCGCCCGTCCTGATCGGCGCCGGCGTCGCCCTCAAGCTCGGCTTGCCCCCCCGCCGCGAGTCCACCGTCGCGTTCTTCCACCCCGAGGCCAATGGCGGCGGCGGCGGGGAGCGCGTGCTGTGGTGCGCCGTCAAGGCCGTTCAGGAGATGGCGCCCGGCGCCAAGGTGGCGATCTACGCCGCGCCGGCGCTGACGTCCGAAGAGCTGGTGGCCCAGGCCGAAGAGCGGTTCAATATCCATGGCCTCAGCCCTGTGGAGGTGGTGCCCCTGCCCAGCGCCTCCCTGGTCGACCCATCGAGGTACCCGTTCCTCACGATCGCGCGGCAGGCCCTGGGCAGCGTGCAGCTGGGAATGGAGGCCCTCGGCCAGCTGGTGCCGGAGGTGTTTGTGGACACGTCGGGCTGGGCGTTCACCTACCCGGTGGCCCGCCTCGCCGGCGCGCGCGTGGCGGCCTATGTGCACTACCCGACTGTCAGCACGGACATGCTGGGCCGCGTGTGGGACGGCGAGGCGTCCTACAACAACGACGAGTCGATCGCCGAGTCCTCCCTCAAGTCCTTGGTCAAGGTGTTGTACTACCAGGCGTTCGCGACCCTCTACGGCATGGCCGGCGCCTTTGCGAGCGTGGTGATGGTCAACTCATCCTGGACGGCCAAGCACATCGGGCAGCTGTGGTGGGGCGGGGAGCCGCGCCAGGTGTTCCCGCCTGTGGAGACGCGCGACCTGCAGGAGCTGCGCCTGGACCGGCCACTCAAGCGCCTGTACATGATCTCCGTGGGGCAGTTTCGGCCAGAGAAGAACCACAAGCTGCTGCTGAACGCGTTCTCGCTAGCCATGGATCGCGCGCGGGGCGCCAAGGTGAGGGACGACGGCGCGGAGGCCGTGCTGTCCGCGCGGCTAAAGCTGGTGGGCAGCTGCCGCAACGCGGCGGACTGGGAGAGGGTGGAGGAGCTGCGGGGGCTGGCGGCGCGCCTGAGGATCTCCAGTCAGGTGGACTTCCACGAAAACGTGTCCTACGGGGAGCTCAAGGCCCTGCTGGGGGGCGCTGTAGGGGGCGTGCACACGATGGTGGACGAGCACTTTGGGATCTGCGTGGTGGAGTACATGGCCGCCGGGGTGATCCCAATCGCGCACAACTCGGGGGGGCCCAAACAGGACATCGTGGTCCAGACCGGGGAGCGGGGCGGGCAGCGGATGGGCTACCTGGCGTCCACGGAGGATGAATTCGCGGACGCGATGACGGAGGTCCTGAAAATGGACCAGAGGGACAGGTTGAAAATCTCGGCCGCGGCCCGGCGGCGGGCCAGCCAGTTCTCGCAGGAAAATTTTTTCAGGGACTTCAAGGCCGCAATGGAGGGGATCTTGCCGAGATAGGGGCGGCCGTTGCTGGGGTTGTGTGCGCGGGTTGGGGGTGTGGGCGCGCCTGACTTGCGTTTTTTCGGTGGTCGTTGGGGGGATGTGGGATGCGGCACGATCAGAGACGTCCGGCTGAGAGGCCAGGCTATTGGAGGACATATCCCTGTTGGCGAACACTGCCATGCACTGCTGGAAGCGCTGTTGCTGTGCAGACGGCAGCCTTGCAGTGTATTTTGTAGAGAACGGATAGGACTCGGGAGACCCTATGGCCCATCGATCCTGATGTTGGGAGACATGTTGTTATGAGTAGGAGGTGTGTTGCACACACCTATGTACACACATATTCACAGATAATCAGACCGCATGAATGAACAGTGTCTGTGTGCTGCAGACAAAATTGCGTGAGGTGAGTGTCCAGCGAAAAGAAGAATTGCAATATTTCCTGTGGATATGGGTGCTTGCCCCTTTCTCACAATACAGCCCCAGTAATTTGGACCAAGGGCAAGATGATCGCCACCGCCACTATGGGCCCTTGATAATGTTTGCCTGGGGACTGTTCCTGTGGTGCCACCAATAGTTGCATTGGATGATAATCGCTGACACCAACAAATTTTCCTACCTGTACATGTCACACACTGTTCCATGATAACATTGTGATATATCACTGTGCTTACAGCTGTTGGGCGATGTCGTTGCACACAACATCAATTGTTCATTCTGCCTGTGCCCAGGGAGCTGGCTGCATCCATGGATGAGTATGCCAGCCATCCACTGCCTGTGTCCACAGCCTTGTCAAGGCAAAAGTTGCGAAGTCCATTCGCAGCGTATTCCAGTGCGTATGGAAGTCACAAATCCGTGGGTCTCACTTTCGTGCTTCGCATTTGGCTGTTGACAAAGTCATCCAACCATGCTTCAGTGCCCGCATGTCCATGTTGCACTGTTGGGAGCAGTGGCAGTCTAGAACCATGACATGGGTCTTTGCAACTTTCAGGACCCCTGGACTTCTTGCATTGTGGATGGCATAGCAGAGTGCATTTTCCAACGCTGTGCTGTGAGATGATGGTAGTCATACGATCAGCTGTGGGTGGAACGTGCCCTGTTCTCCTTTTGTTTGGCAAGGACGAGGTGTCTTGCTAAATTCGTGCACTGATTCCATTTTGACCCAGGGACAAAGACACTCTATGGCATGGTGGACACTCGCATTGCAGCACTTGCACACTCCAGTCACAGGAAGATGATGCAGAAGTTATCCTGCATTTGGTGTTACATATATCGAGAATGCACATGTCAGCATTCTTTCTGTACCCAAGGAGGGAAGCACAGCGAATGCCAACGACCACATTCACGACCCCTCCCCCTCCCCCCCATCGGCGACCCTGCCAACCACACATGGATTCTGAATGTTCGCCTTTTGGTCCATCGCCTGCTATCTATCCTTTGGTGACCGGCCCAGTCGCGCAGTGAGGATAGCTTGCTGAACGAGTGCGGACCCTTCCATTGCCTCCACCCTACTCCAGACCCCAAATTCGACACCTTGGGCCCAAGCAGATGGCGAAGCCATCCACCGCCCAGACACCGCCAAGCCTCCCGATGACCAGTACATTACCACCAGCCCCTGGCCCCCCCTCTCCACCGCTCCGCGGACGGGCTGCCGCTGACGTTGGCAGCACAGATCCCACCCGCATCACGGGCACCGGATCCGAGAAATATTCTTCTCCGCCGCTGCCCGTTCCGGCCACCCCCCGCCTTTGCGCCTCCCGCCGTCCCTGCCGCCCGGCCCGCCGCCCGTCCGTCGGCAGGACGAGCCCGCGGGGACGCACCGTACAAACGCCCCAATCCGCGTCCCCACACCTTCCCACCCACCCCCCTTTTCTGTTCAAAAATGGTTCTGCAGTCGTCAAGCAGGGGCTTGGCCCCCAAGGGCCTGGGCGCTGCCCTTTGCGGCGGCGCACCCTGGCGGATGGCCCCGTCGAAGGGAGGCGAGCTGCGCGAGCGGGCGTCTGCGGGCCACAGCGTCAGCGCCTTGCATGTCCGGACAGCCAGCGGTGGGCATCCGTGCGCTGGCTTTCGCCCGTGGGCGCAGTGCCCGCGCCCCATTTGTTGCGGCCTGTGTTGTGCTGCTTCTTCGGCTCAGAGCTTGCCGTGACTTTCAGTGTCTTTTTCGGGTGGCCCTGTGTGTGTTGGACTGTTGTGGTGCCGGTAATGGGGGGTGACACGGGCGTGGAGTTGATTTTGTCCCGGGTGCATAGGGATTGGGTAGGCCGGGGGGTGCGGGGGTTTGAGACGTTGTGCCGCCCTTCCCGCCAGCTGCGCGCCATTGGCCGCCGGGAGCTTATGCTGTGCGCCAATGGGATTCCTCCTCCGGCCTTGCAGCGCCAATGGCCGCGACTGGCATTGTCCCTGCGTCCACACACGGAGGAGGCAACACCACCTGCAGCCTGGCGCACGACGATCGGGCGCTGCCGGCGCGACGTCATGCAAGGCGTCATGCGATGAGAGCGATCGCCCGGACGCCCGGTCCACCTTGGCGTTTCCACTTTCCTCGGTGGCCAGCGTCTGGCGCTTTTGCCAAAAGTCCGTTCCTTGGTCCACGTGGAGAGCCCTTGGCGCGTCTGGCACTGCTTGGCACGCATTGACCATAGCGATCCATCGCACCCCCCCTTCCTTTCCACGCCGTCTTGCGCTGTCAAGCACGGGCGAATTCGACCACCCACGTCCCCATTGTGATCCTCGATGTTCTGATGGCGGTAATGGTGTTGACCGCGTCAACCCACCACTGAGCCACCGTCGAGACCAAGCCTTCCCATGGTGAGCTTGTGCTTTTGGTGCGCAGGCGGATTTCAAAAGCACCAGTCTGCGCCCCTGCCCAGGCTGCAGCCTCTCGAGACGACATCTTCGCCGACTGCCTCTGTCGTCAATGAGGAGCTGCCCGCCCCAATGGCCGCGGCAGCTCCGAAGAGGGTCGCTGTTTTCGTCGAGCCGTCGCCATTCACCTACGTTTGCGGGTACAAGAACCGCTACTGCAACATGATCAGGCACCTGGTGGAGGAGGGGTGTGAGGTGTTGGTGGTCACCACAGGTCAGTTGCATGGAGCAGGATGTCATTGTGCTGTAGGCAGGAAGCGAAACATGTTATCCAATGGGCGCACTCTTATGAGCAGGAATGTGTCGCCACTCTTCTCCACGTGAGGAGTGAACCCGGTTTAATCGCAGTGCTACAAAGTTGCTAAAAGGTTTCCAAGTCACCTTTGGAGCCAGTAAAGCGAAACTGTGTAGCTTGGGCGGCAGAGGCATGTCAGGGGCTGCGTTTGGCACATCTGTCCATTTTTGCACCCGTCTGTCTTTGGCTAGCTGCAAATTCAATGCTCTATTGGTGTGATGGTGATGATGAAGTTGGCATGCGTACTCATCAGCAAACGGTGCTTCAAAGGAGTATATGAGATGTTCAACTAGCAGGCGTGGATGCACGTCCCCAACTGACTGATGTTGCCTAGCAGCTGAGGCATCCATTTTCAGCATCAAGTGGCATTGCGGATGACCTGCACGCAGACATGTGCAGACTATCATTGCTTCTACAAGGCATTATTCACCTGGCTGGAGGTCACATTTGGTAATGCAACATATGGTACTATTTGAACACGTAACAGGGCCATACATTTTGGCACACGTGTGCTACATTGTTGGATTCCGTTGCTGGTCCGTAACAATTCCCCCGGATCAAGCAGTTATAAGCTGCCTGGCAGCTGCATCCATTTTATGCCCTGTATGGGGTAATGTCACCAGTGCTGGCTGTGTATGCACTGTACTTTGTGAAGCACATTTCCATGCACAATGTCTGTTCTGCTTCATGTGACCTTCTGTGCAGAGGCCGCGAACACCAGTGAATCACCTCTCGGCATTGCAATGAATTATTGATCTGTCCTTGAGTGATGCTTGACAGCTCCATCCTCTACAAAATGTGGACACTGCATCCACTTCACGTTGCAGTTGTCATACTGAAAGCTTGGGTCTCACTTGCAGTTAGTTCACCCCACAACCAAACCAAATTACAGATTTTCTGTAGTTTCAGCCAGAATACTACAGAATTTAAATTGTTATGTTGTGTGCTTTAACTGCTTGTGATTGGGCGCCAGGGAAGGGGGTCTCAGCTCCTGGCACAGATACCTCTGCCTATAGGGATGCTCCGGAGAATTACCATGGTGCAAGGGTGGTCAGCAGCTTTGCCATTGGTTGCCCTTGGTACTGGCAGCTTCCCCTCTCCCTGGCGCTGTCACCCAGGATATTTTCAGAGCTGAGGTAAGCAGATCGCAGTGCTGTGCATCTGTCTGATTGTTTGACATACAGTGGTCCCATCCACAACTTTCCCAAGTCAAGAATCTGCAGTACCGATTGGAAATCCAATGCTCTTCATTTCACTACCAAAGTAGGCAGCGTGACAGTGGTCTGTGCTGCGATCTCATTCACGTTCATGGTGCTTGTTATGAAAGCTGAGGAACCCATTTCCATGTGAGGTGGAAAGAGCCTGCCTGGAGTCTTGCATTGGCAGGACATTGTCAGGTATTGTGCTGTCCATTGGGGTGTTGCCCATTCTGAAGCATAGACTGATACTGGACGTGTGGCAGGAAATTCAACCCTGACCTCATTCATTGCTCCACACCTGGCTTGATGGTTTTTTCGGCCTGGCTTTATTCGAAGCTCTTGAGGCTGCCTCTGGTGTTTGCCTACCACACACACCTTCCAAAGTACCTCCCTAGGTACAATATAAGTTTTTTGGTGAGTCAGATCCACCACGACCTTGTTCAACAGCATTTTTCCTTTCGGAATGTTGGCCACAAGCATCGGTGTTTGCAATCATGGCCTTCGTATGTGGCATGCTTTATGACTGCTGGGGCTGGTTCAGTCCCCCCTTGCAGTGAAATCGTTGTCTCTTGATCTTATTGTCTGCATTTTTCTGTTTCAGCCACGTGATATCAGCCTTATTGTCTGTTTGCCACACCATCCTGGGCCATTATATCTCTTATAATTGATCTGACAGTTGTAGTGTGCCTCATGTGCACAGATTCCAGCACTGTGGTCACTCTTGCGGCTGCATCGCATAGCCCACCTTACTCTCGTGACCAGCACAATGCTGAGGAATGAGTTCCTGGAGCAAGACGCTGCGCCTGCAGAGTCTCTGCAGGTTTGTTGAACAGACTGTCACCTGCTAGTCCAGTGTTGATTTCCATACTTGTGTTATTCTTTGCTCCACATCCTTTGGGATCGTCAAACACGAATACACGATGCCATGATGGCATGTGCGTAACCTGTTTCTTCCATCGACGTACATAACATGTTTCTTCCCTTGACTGGTTACAACATGGATTGATGTGTGCACTCAGGTGAGGCAAATACCCCAGGCAAGTGCATTGCGGCGTTGCCCAGTCTTTTGCACAGTAAAGGCCGTGTAACAATGCCTGCTGAGTTTCGATCGATGTGGCTGTCAGGTATGGCGCAAAGGAATCGACACGGACATGTTCAATCCGCGCTTCAAGAGCCAAGAGATGCGAGAGAGGTTGACGGCAGGCAATCCAGAGGCTCCTGTGCTTGTGCATGTGGGACGATTGGGTAGTGAGAAGAACTTGAAATTTCTCAAGGTGAGGACCACAAGTGGTTGGTGAGGATGTGCATGCTTGTTGCAGGGCAGAATTGTCCAGAACCTCTAAATCTGCAATGGTAGCAACCCAAGGAATGATACAGGACAGTCCCACAGAGTTTGCCTGTGCGTTTGGCATGCTCAGGAATATCTTCTCTGACATTGCTGCCTGCCCACATGGCCTTTCCTGCACGCATGGTTTCTTTCTCATGAAGTTGGTTGTTTTGCATAAAACATTTGGATACGGCTATATCATCTTTTTCCAACAGAGAAGGTAGGGACAATAGTATTCAGAATAGAGTTGCTCATTAACAATGTCTTATACTTTTGTGGTTTTCGCCGAGAAGCATCAACCGTCTCCGTTGCTGAAAAGCTTGGATTGTGGGTTGGGATTTGTTCTGCAGGGGATGCTCGCCAGGCTGCCAGGTGCTCGGTTGGCATTTGTTGGCGATGGCCCAGCCCGTGAAGAGCTGGAAGCACACTTCAGAGGCACTCCGACAGTGTTCCTTGGAATGCTTCATGTGAGGCACACCCCATCGTCATCAGCTTTTCCACATGCTGCATGGCCACACTTGCATGCCTTCACTGCGTTGCATGCATTCCTGATGCAGTTTGAGACTGCATTGTGTGCTATAGCATCCAAGACAGTCTCATAAACTTCTTGCTGAAGAGGAGGTTGCCCTTTGTGCATTCTTCCTGTCTTGTTTATAGCAAAGAATCTTCATGTTTGGAGTCCTGGCCTTCCATGAAAACTTCTAGTAGCTCTGATACCAATGCTATGCTAATGGGGCCAGCACTGGCTTCTTTTTCCATGCAACGTGGGGTGGGGTGGGGTGGGGTGGGGTGGGGTGGGGGCCGCTGGCAGCAGGTACCAGCCAGTTCGCATTTGGATATTGTGTTATTGGCACGAATCTTGTCACTGTAATTGTTGCAACTGTGAGGCAAAAGTCCAAAGAATTGAAGTGGCGTACAGCCTGTGACGGCATTGGCTCAAGGCATATCAAAGCACTGCCGTCGCACATTCCATGGCAGTGATGGGTATCAGTCCATCCACAGTTAGTCTTGAATGCGATCTCCACCAAAAGCCCATCTCAAAGCCAAGCACCAACCAACAACCTTCTGCAAACTACCCATTTCCATTCTATTGACATGATTCTATTGCATTTGATGGTGTTCTCTAGGGAGATGAGCTGTCAGCAGCTTATGCCAGTGGTGACGTCTTTGTGATGCCCTCCGAGAGCGAGACCCTTGGGTTCGTTGTGCTTGAGGCCATGGCATCACAGGTCCCTGTGGTGGCTGTAAAGGCTGGAGGCATTCCTGACATCATCCACAGTGAAGGTAGAAGATGGATGCTGTACAACAAGGCACTGTTTGTGAAATTGGCCAAAATTGCACACGATTGCACTTGTATCTTGTTGATATTTGTGTAGCCGTGTGTAGGTAGCACTGGGCAGCCCAACGACATACTGCTTGGTGCCAGCAGTACTGCACAGTACAAATTGCTGCAATGCCACAGTGATTTACATCAGTATGTGCGGTTCCAACGATAGCAGTTGACCATTTGGCACAGGGACCAACAATGTGCAGCTAGGCAGCTGTGCTATGATGGCTCTTGTGTATAGAAGTTTTTTTTTTGCTTCAATTGAGCAGCATCACAGTGTCCCTGGGTGGCCTAGTCATCGTTGATTACTGTGCTGAAAATACCAACGGCCAGTATTCACCCCAGGCCTGTTGAAACCAGAACAGATGATTCACGAGTGTCAACAGAGTCGAGCTGGCCTGTACCACTTGCATTAGCCAAGTTCCATGCGGTCTGTCACAGCAAGGCGCAAGTGGTTGCCTGCAGGGCTTGGGCTGCCGCCAGCTGCCAATCCACCCTCCATGAAATATGCCCTCTGAACAATTGTGTGAGGAGTTTGATTTGCAACATTCAGCGAGATCATCATTTGTGAGAATCTTGGACGTTCATCTGAGCTACGACACAGTTACAGTTTGAGCCAATTTGACTTTATTGCCACTGGTGGACCAGGTGTCGGTGGATATCTGTACCAGCCGGGAGACATAGAGGGTGCCACGAACTTGGTTAAACGTCTCCTTGACAATGACGAGCTAAGGTAAGCATACGATTCTTTTGTGGACGGGCGAACTGCCTGAGGGTAATTTGGGCTAGTGCAGTTTCATGTGTGTCTCTTTACTCCTTGAAATTGGTGTTCTGTTCAAAGGCACCTCTGTACTGATGTTGATCCCCACTACCGTTGCCAATCACACCAAGTTTGCGCATTGGGCATTTCAGCCCGTTGGACGTGCAGCGAGTGACACCAGGCGGTGCGGAGATGCTTCGTTCCTTTATACTGCTAGCACGCAGAGCACCGGGCAGATCCTGATGCTTGTTGTCAGTCAAGTGGAGAATTGAAATGTCACTGACCCATATGACTGCCACATATTGTGTTGGCATCAAGTGCTGATGTCCGATGTGGGGTGAACGTCCTGAGAAACTGCCAACCCACACTAGCCCCTGGACCTGAACCCCATGGGCCCCAGAACACCACACAGAAAGATGGTTCCCAGGGGACCACAGAGCCTTTGAAATCCAGGACAGCCTTCAGCCATACAGCGCGATGAGTGCCTGCAGTCAGCTGTGCAGATCAGCCGTTCAGCCATCTGTTCAGGGTGTGGTGGGGTTGTTTGTGAGAGTTCGGGTACAGATGGCCAGTAAGCTTGGATGCTTTGGTGGATGTGATGTTGCTGGTGTTTCATGACTGGTGGAAGAGGAGTACAGATAGCTGAAAGGGAATTAGCCACTGGGTGAGTTCCTGTGGCTGAGGACTACGGATGAAAGTGGAGTCGCTTTGGTTATGAGCTCACGGGCAAAACGAGGCCCCTGCACATACACATTCATCATGGGCTCTTTACACTACTGCTGTATACGGTCCCAGAGTGCTCAAGAACGCCTCCAACTGCATACCCACAGTTGACCAAAGTATGAGCGACTGGAGAGCCCAGATATCTGCTGTGATCTGTCCGTGGCAATATCGTTGTTACCCTACATGAAGCACAGAAACCTGCGACATTCTCATGGAGCACATGCACAAGAACGACCACTGATATACTTACGAGACAGGGAATGGCAAAATGCATGGGCGTAGCCAAATGTTTTCTGTTGGTGCTCTGCAGGATGGCTGCGGGCGCTGCTGCCCGAGAAGAAACAACCAAGTGGGACTGGAGAGCGGCTACCCGCCAATTGTTGAATGCGCAGTATCCAGTGGCCATGGCCGCAGCGAAAGCAGAATACGGCAGCGAAACATCGCCGAGACCAAGTGGAGACTCGCAGACACGCCAAGGGGAAGCTGGCGCACCAGCATTTGCTTGATGGTGCGAGGACGCTTCTGCGGTGTTGATGCCTGTTCAGCGATATCTGCCTGATATGAGATTGCTGGGAAAGGCACACATGCGATATGTAAGTTGGCAACTGGAAAAATACTTTAGCAAGGTGGCGATGAAGGACACTGGCTGATATCCACGGTAGCGAGGGCAAAGGCCTGTTTTGCGCGTTCGAGATGGTTGGGCCAAACCAATTCTTATCATTTGTTGGCAATTGGGATCGCATGGCGTTCCGCATGAGCGCAAGGGGGAACCTCGAGGAGGCTGCAGGAAAGGGGCTTGTTTTGTGCGAACGAAAGCAGCAAATTTTATTTTTCGTCTTTGGAGGAAGATAATTGAATAGTTTGTATCGTGCTCGGCTGTTTAACAGACCTGGCGGCGAGCCACATGTGTGGAATGCCGCTTATCTGAAATTTGCTTCCCGAACGCCCTGGCCACCCAGGCAGCAAACACTCATTCGCGGCCCCTTGAAGCAGATGTGTCAAACACATTCACAAATTTGACCTGTGTCAGGCATGCGTAGGGGCCTCTAAAGCAGGCCCCAACCTGTCCCATCAGTAACACTCTCCCTTCGGTGTGTTGCTTTCAGTCCGTGCTGCTTTGGAGGGTGTGTGTTCTCCCAGATGGCTTTTGTGCCAGTGCCCTTGATGAGCGATTCTTGCCCCTTGGTTTTGCCACCTTGAATTGGTATGTCTTGCGCCAAGCAGCACTTCGGAGAAGGGCCAGGAAACGTTATCCAGGGTATGTGAATGTGTTCCGTTTCGACACGCCAGAACAAAAAGCATGCATGAAGCACTATGAAGATCAAAATACAGTAGAAATTGTATTAAACTGCGCCGCATCGGTGGCGCACTTTTGTTCGGGCCTTCTCCTGAGCTATTTTGGGACCTGAAGCATTGACCATGCACTCAGATATGACAACTCCAGAATTCCCAACATGCACTCACAAGAAATCATGGTTTATACGGCTGCCCCGTCGGCAGCCCATGTAGCGAGTTTATCAGCATTGATGCACTTGAAGCCACTCAATTGCCGTGTGCATGCGCCAAGCAGAATGATGGTCATCACGCAGCAAGGCAAACACTGTCCATAGTGCATTGACTATGCCACTGTCGGCTCCCAACCGCAGAGCAATGTCCAGACCGTCAGCAACACCTCGCTTGTGTGTCAGGCAGTAGACCAACGCCAACGCCGTGACCTGTCTACTAAGGCAATCCCTGACAGGACGCTTGGTGCTCTTCATGCAAAAATTCCACGCGTTGCTCACGAACCACCCAGCCTCAACAATTCAGAGCTCCAACCATCTGTCTTTTCCTTAATGTGCATTCGAGTGATCCCAGTGATCTGGATCTCCTGCATCGGCCACGGGAAGGCTGGCGCTTGTCACAAGTTCCAGTTGCTCCCCACAGAACATCCATCGTCTCCAATACAGGACTCCACACTATCTATCCTACCTTAGAAATACTCGTTGTCCTCACTTGAACTTTCCGACTGTTCCGGTTTGTCCATTTCAGTCATTGGGCGATTGGCGCTGTTAAAGCACAAGTTCCATTTGCTGCCCACGAGACTTCCTGCCTCCTCAATGCAAGACTCCCAATCTTCCATCTTCCTTTCAGTTTGTCATTCTCCGCCCTCAAATTCTTTCGAAAACTTCAGAGTGCCAACTTCAGCGACAGGCCGTGTGGTGTTCTTGAAGGACAGGCTCCATCTGCTGCTCGCAAAGCATCCAGTATCTTCAATGCAGGCACCCAAATCATCTATCCTTTCCTGGAGATCTTCAATTTCCGCTGTCTAAACGTCTGGCTGATTCTGATGTTCCGTTCCAGTACATACATTGATATCTAGCCCTTCTCAATTAAACCGGCGTTTGTGGCTTTGCAGCAACCACATGAGCGCTTCGTTGTCTTATCTCATATGAGGGGCCCGCCATAACTCTCCCAGGGAGACATTGGCTGCAGTCTTTCATGGCTTCCCAGACGTCCTGTGAGTGACTGTACCCTGAGCCAAACTCCGCCTGCTTGAGCATCACTTCTTGCATTATTTTTTGCACTCCTCAATGAGTGCTGACGGCCGATCAGCGACTCCCGCAATCTGCAAAAGTTGTCTCTCGATGCACGTTCACACGCAATTCAGGACGTGCTGGCATGCTCTCTTTTCTGTCATCTGTATGTCGTACTTGTTGCCTCCAAGACTACAGCGATCACAAACTGCTGACTCAGTAATTCCGGACGTTCGACACATGTGGCAATAACTGGAGCACAGAGGTAGATCCAAGTCAAAGAATCGACAACAGGCATTGCAATCGGTGCAGATACTTGCTCTCAGCAAGAGCACGATGCAAACAGCCCATTTGAGCCCAGTGCTGCTGCCATGCAACCTTGTTCGCAGCGCTCAAATTCAAACAGCTTCTCAACGACTTCATCGCCAGAAATGTTGCATAGCACTGCCCCTACAGCTGTCAGGTCATTCGGGCACACTTGACACCTGCAAATGGTGCATATACGAATGGCATTTGCTCGAGCAAAAGTCGCAACCCACAGGTCAGCCAACAACGCCAGTCTGTCGACCTGCAGCTCTTCAATACACTACTGCAGTTGGCTTGATGCTGAGAAACAGCCAGCAGGGTGCACTGACATGTGCAGGCGAACACCAATCTGACACAATGCCACACAATTGTCCGACCACATGAGTCCTCAATAATCCAAGCATTGTCCCCTGTTGCTTTGCCATGAATTCAAGCACCGGAGACTTCTGCCCCAATGAATCTGCCTGCCCCACTGTCCGAAACTGAAACATGTTCCCTGAAGGCTCATGATCCAGGTACTCAGAAACAACTTATCCATGGACATTTCCTGCAAACCTGCCCCATATTTTCGCTGCCCAAATGTCAGCGAGTCAAGTTGGTTTGCAGTGGTATTCTTTAACAATGCCACAGGGAGTTGCTTGCCCCACCCGCTCCTGGACGTTGCAGTTGCATATTTCAACTCCAGCATGCTTGCCAGGGCAAGCGCGATATGCATTTCAATTATCTGTTTCAGTCCCAAACGTTTGTTTCAGACACCCGCGATGGACATGCCAACGAGAACTGCAAAACTTGCTTTTGGTGCGATGGTGTGTAGAAGTATTCACACAAGTAGTTCTTACCGTTGGGGCACCATCCCACTTTCCCAATGCTAAGTTGTGCCACAGCTCTCTTCCACACAAGACATTCCCGCGGTGTGCTAGATACGAGAATTACAGAAAACATAGGGAATGGTGCGCACGGCGGACAGCAAGGAAGGAAGACAGTGGACGAGGAATATCGTGGGCCAGATTGCTCACCGAGTCAAAGTCATGCATTGCTCCAGCGGAGAGCACCGCACAAGGGACGCAGATTCCGTCACTTCGATTTCCCCATCTGGCTACAGCTACAGGGATTGAGCCAACACGGGCGACAATTGGGAACGATGAGCTTGTCCGCGTGGAGGGCGACGCCGTTGGGAACGTTCAGCACCGAATCGCTGTCGGAACTCAGGGCGCGGCTCTGTCAATCGTGGGAGATTGTCAATTGAGCGATGGGAGGAGCTCTCCCCGTCTACGAAGACACGCCAGGAACGTGAGAAGGAAGCCCATCCATGTGCGCTGGGTGTGCATGTGCGGTGGTGTCAACGACAAAGTCGCCTGCATGGATATTGAGCTGAGCACAACCTACACAAGCGCTCATGTGCTCACGAAGTGGTACGAGCGTGGCAAGGTCATCAACACCATTTCGAGCCAGTCACTGCTGTTACGGTGTGTCCAACCTGAAAATGAATCTGTGCCTTTCGCCGCCCTCCCCAACTTCTTTCCTCTCTGTCTGGTCGTGAGACACCTCTCACCTGCGGGCTGAGGGAGGTTCACGACTCTCTTGTTAGTCTCCATCGCGGGTGGCAGAAGTCCTTGGCGTATACATCGAGAAATGCTTTTGGTTGCTGACTTATTTCGCTCAACAAAGCGTAGAGCACAGCGGCAATTGATGGGCACGCATTTGTATCAACTTGCGCCCACAGTGTTCGAATCACTCCTAAACGACCATGACTACCTTTGTACTGTACATTCATATTCAGAGAGATCGATTGCACCCCTTGTGGGAGCGTCAAGCAATGGCAACCGTTTCTTTGTGTGGTTAACTTGTGTCTTGCTCGCCATGCCAGAAAATGACCACCGTTTCATCGAGCGAGTCACTTATGTATCCACTCGCCGGGGGTTCCCTGTGTATGACAGGTGAATCATCAGAAAGAAACAAATAGTCAATTTAGTAAAGAAGACAAAACAAGCCGGAAACAAAGGAAAAAAGGGTGAAGCATTATGCTACTGCACTACGCCTATCTTTTGGGCTTCTGTATTTGACGCTGATTGTCGTCTGACTGATGCTGAATAAGGACGTACTCCGCATGAGCCTGCAGAAAGTGAAAAGGAGGAAAAAAGAGAAAAAAGGCAGGCTTTGACGGCATACAGTAAGCCGTTCATAATAACACTATGGCTCTGGATGTACAGCCTCACGTGGGGAAGTTGTGGATCTGTTTTCCCACAACGGTAAAATGATTCTTTTGGTCATTCTTTTCATTTGCCGTGCTGTTCAAGCGTTTTACATTTTGCAAATAGGTCTATGAACGATTCCATTGGTTAGGAATGCAGTGCTTTAATGGTGGATTGGAATTGGAATATTGGACTTCTCTCCTTATTTCCGCATCACCATTCTGCTTTGGAGGGGGTGGAATGCCGGGAAGAACTTGAAGATCCTGGATAAATATCCAGGATGTGGCTGCATTCCAGAGCATGGGCGCCATATCCTAGATGTGCATATCGAAGATATCGATATATCTTGAGAGATGGCAATTGTCACCCGTATGTCGCCATGTCCAGGGTATGCTATATCTTGGACATATATGTCCAGGATAACATGCCATATATATGTCCAGGATGTCCATATCGCATTCGACATATACGATAAGAGACTTATCAACGCCC